CATACTACCAAAAGCACTGTACAGATTTAATGCAATTCCAATCAAAATCCCAATGACATTCCTTATAGAAATAGAAAAAGCAACCATGAAATAAGAGAAAAATAAGAGACCCAGAATAGCTAAAGCAATTCTTAGCAAGAAGAGTGCAGCAGGTGGTATCACTATACTAGACCTTAAACCATACTACAGAGCAATAGTAACAAAAACAGCATGGTATTGGCACCAAAATAGACTTGTAGACCAACCGTACAGAATAGAAGACACAGAGACAAACCCACATAACTACAGTTATCTTATATTAGACAAAGGCTCCAAAAACACACATTTAGTTTTTATATCTGCTTAATCTCTAGTCTGTAACAGCCCCTTAGTTTCTGTGTCTTTCATGAATTTGACACTTTTGAAGCATATGGTGGTAGGGAGAGTTCTGAAATTGCTCCTAACACTTCCACTTCTGGGTCTATATACTATGTATACACCCTGAGTGCCAGCAGAACCTATGAATATGATGTATCTCACTCCTTTGATTACATCACCTATTAATTTGACTTTGACTTATCATATGGGAGATTATTTGAGTGGGCCTGATCTAATCAGGTGAACCCTTAAAAATGACTTGGCCCTCCTAAAGTCAGACAGCTTGCTTACAAGTGTGACTTTATCTACAAGAGGTGGTCCCATGGCAGAGATCTGAGAATAGCTTCTAGGAGCTGAGAGAGGTCCCCAGTAGCCTATACCTATCAACAGAATGGGGACCTCAATTGTACAGCTGCTAGGAAACAATATCTACCAACAACCCAAGGGAGTTTAAAAAAGTACTTTTCTCTAGATGAGCCTTCAGGTGTGAATACAGCTGGCTGACACCTTGATTTTAGCCTTGTGAGGCCTTGAAGAGGGGACTTGGTTAAAATATGTTGGACTCTAGACCCATGGGAATTATGACATATTAAATTGTTAAGTAATAAATTCATGATGACTCGTTATGTAGCAATAGAAAATTAATACAAATATTACATCAGTTATTTGTAAATGTCCTTCAATATGGATTTGTCTTAATGGATGTGTAACTGATATGATTCTGCAATCTGTATACGGGGTAAAAATGGGAGTTCATAACCCACTTGAATCAAAGTGTGAAATATGATATATCAAGAACTATGTAATGTTTTGAACAACCAACAATAAAAAATTAAAAATAAATAAATAAAAAATAAAAACACCTTATCAGAAAAAAAATAATATGGATTTGTGTTGATCATATGGTTAATTTTACATCTGCAGTTTTCTCCACTGTAAAGTTTTTGTAGTTGATAAATATCTCACAGGAGATATTTTAAGACTATACAAACCCTGCCTCTCCTGAAACTAATTATAGCCTCACCTGCAAATCTTGTCTGGAAATATTTGTTACTGTGGTATCTGCCTAATGGTAATTCTTTATTTCCCTACCCCTCCAACATTTATCAGTTGAACTTCTACTGTAAGGAAGAGCTCTCTCTTCTCCTATTCCTTCCTCATTTATCTATTTATCTATTCGATTGTTTATATCACTATGACTTCATGGATATTGTTTTACTCTGTAGATAAAATCCTTATACTGTCATTGTTTTTCAGACAGTGGCTCCCAGTTAATATCATTAGCAACTCCTCAACGTTGACTCCTGTGGTTTTCCATGAAGCTGCATCTATTTTTTAAAATTCTTAATTGTTCTTTTTAGTTGTACATGACAGTAGAATGTATGACATATCATACATACATGAAATATAACTTCCCATTCTTGAGGTTGTACATGATGTGGAGTTACACTGGTTGTGTATTTATATATGAACACAGGAACATTATGACCAATTCATTTTACTGTCTTTCCTATTCCCATCTCCCCTCCATTCCCTTCATTCCCCTTTGTCTAATCCAGTGAACTTCTATTCTCCCCTCCCCATCCCCTGCCCTCCTTATTGTGAATTAGCATCTGCATATCAGAGAGACTATTTGGTCTTTGTTTTTTTTTTTTTGGTGGGGTGGGGGGATTGGCTTATTTAACTTAGCATGATAGTCTTCAGTTCCATCCATTTACTGTTGGCTGAGTAATATTCCATTTTGTATATGTATCACATTTTCTTTATCCATTTATCTGTTCAAGGGCACCTAGGCTGGTTCCAGAGCCTGGCTATTGTGGACTGAGCTGCTATAAACATTGACAACTGTGTCACTACAGTTGCATCTAGTTTTGAGCCTCCCTTTAGTTTCTGACACATAAGATGCTCCTGGCTCATTTCATATTTTCCTTGCTTCAGGCCTGAAAATAACCATTTTTGCAGGGGTACTTGGTTCCTGAACGATGTTTAGATATGGTGTAGGTGTGTTTGGTTTCTAGGGTGTTGTTGCTTTTAGATCCTCTCAGAGGACAAAGCTAGGTAATATATTATAACCCATACATATTTACATATCTATATTTCTATATTGATCTATCTGTATACTTTAAAACCATGAGTTTTATATGGATACCTCTGATTCCAATTCAATATTGCAAGGTTAATCCTAGCTTTTTCTATTCCCTTATTTATAACTTCCTTCTCCACAGTGAAAAACCCAGCAACAGTCTATTCACTCCTTTGTGTTAAACTGTGTGTGTGTGTGTGTGTGTCTGTGTGTGTGTGTGGTTTTATGTTTCAGGAAAAGTTGTTTCCATAGAATGGGTGGGACAGAGTGATCTTCCACCCCACTTGAGAGGTAAGTCCCTGCATTGATTCTCCACTTTCTGCCTCCTCCTGAATCCCACCCCAATCACCTAACTACAAACTAAATGAAACTTGAGTTCTCTGCCTTCCAATTCAAGAGCTGGGTGCTCAGGCCTGAAGTAGAGTAACTGGAACCTAACATAAACCTCTGCTTTCTGCTCAGACCAAAAGGAAGTCATCTTGGAGTGAATGTCTTTTACAATACTAGCACGAGTTGTCACCTCCAATGTTGTTTGAAGTTTAAAATAAAATGATATGGCGCCTTTTAATTTTTTTATTTAAATGCTAACACCATAACTTAAGGGTTTTTGAATTGATTTTTTTATACATTTATTTATTTATTTTCATGTGGTGCTGATTGAACCCAGTGCCTCACATCTGCTAGGCAAGTGCTCTACCACTGAGCTATAACCCCAGCCCCTTGAATTGGTTATTGACCATCCAGAAGTCACTGAGTCCCAGCTGATTCTAATGCATGTTTCCATACTTGCTGAATGCATCTTACACAGACATTGATAGTTAACCTCTGTATTCTTACAAAGACTGAGTACCCCTCATGAACATTTTCTGTGAAACTCAAATGAGGGAATCCATAGGTAAGTGCTTAAAAACTATGCCACACTAAGTAAGCTGAAGAGCGCTGGGTTGTGTCTGCAGCAAGACAGTTTGAACTCTGCGCACTCTGAGGTGCACTTCAGAAGGCAGAAGTAGTCCAAAACAGGGATGGTGACACTGCTATTGTGAATGGGTGGCTAACAAGAAGGATATCATGGAATCTATTAAAATACGAAGAGTCTTTAAAAGTATTCATTCATTCATTAAACAGCTATTTTCCACCTGTCTTACTAACCCACCTGGAAGTAAGCAGTACCACCTGAGGAGGTTTAGAATAGGAGTATGATGCCGGACCAGAGCAAAGAATACAATAAAAGCAGCCATTTCTTCAAGACCGTCTGTGAGCAAGGTACTGTGTTAGGAGTTTACTACATAGTATCTTATTTAATAAAACAATCATCTGGACTATCAGAAAGTTAAAGGATATTGTCTAAGGTCAAATAGCTAGTAAATGCAAGAGTCAAAACTAGAATCCAGGTCTGCCTGAAAGCCAACGCTCATGCTCATTTCCCCTAAAGTGAAAGCAATCCATTCTCTGAAGAAATATTTATTGAGTGCCTCTTTTGTTCCAGATATTATTCTGGGTGCTACTGATATAAAAGTGAAGGGGAAAAAAATCCCTGTAGCATGGTGTTCATGTTGTCCTGGGAAAATAAATAAATGAAAAAATAAATATTTAGTATGTCAGGTGGTGATTAAATAGGATAGGAAAGATGGGGCCAGGTTGGGTTGCTGTCTTTACTGGAATGATCAGGGACGTCTCTGACAATGTGAAGTATGTGCAGATCTAAAAAACACGTAGAAGAAATAGAACTGGCACAAAGACAACTTTCCTTCTTTGCCTACTGTGGGTTCAGTTTGGAAAAAAGGAAGAGATAAGATACAGGCGTTTGTGGAAGCATGGACCTGGAGTCAGAAGACTTTGTCCTTTTATTTTATTTTATTTTTTTATTTAAATGTTAACACCATAACTTAAGTGAGTTTTAGTCTAGGTGATTTATTGGCAAATCATTTCACTTTTGAGCCTAAATTCTCTTAGTTGTAGACGGGAACGACAGTCCTTGCCCAACTCCCCACACGCAGCCACTACAAGGATCAGATGAGACAGCCCATGTGAAAACTCTCTAAAAATGATACAAGTTGGAAATCAGGGTCAGAGGTCAACGCTTCAGGCGAAAGGCAGTGTGAGTGGGTAAGTAAATTAAAGGTGTCCTTATTTTAGGATGCCGGTTTCCCCAGGCATCTTTTAGAAAAGTCGCCCAAATGAGAAATGAAATAAAAGAACTAATAATAAGTTTCATAACAGGTATCTGCTGAAGACCCCTATTTAATTTAATACTGGTCAAAAATTGCATCATGTGTTTCAACTAAACTAAGAAAGAAGTTCTGAGATTGGAATCTTGTAACTCTAATTGCCACGCCCCATCGTAGCCTTTTTCTTTTCGCCGCGCCCCTCCATCTGAACTCCATTTCCCCACATGCCCCGGGCTCCTCTCAATCAGCCGACTTTGTGACGCAATTCCGCTGCCTTCTGGGAAATGTAGTTTATTCGATCTCCGCCTGCGGAAAGATCTTAGGGCTTGCAGACTACCACTCCCGTGAGGTTGTGCGCAGCCCCACCCCGTTCGCGGCGTCTTCGAACGTGCCGCGGCAGCCATGTTGGTCGTGGCCAGCACAGGGGCCGGCACCAGGGGGTTATTGAAGCAGCTGTCATGATGCTGGGGTTCCTGGTGTTGAGGAGAACGGCGCCGGCGCCGCAGCTCCTCCTCCGGCTGCTCAGGTCCGCAACGCTTCAGAGCCACGGAGGTGTCTCCGGCCGGAGCGTAACCACCAGGAGACGCGGGGAGCCGCAGTGGCTGAGAGCGGCCGCCGGGGGGCGCCCCGGAACATCTTCGGCATTACCACTTGGTCGAGGGGCAGCCACCTGGGGGCGCCGGGGAGGATGCACCGAGAACCAGCTCCTGTCTGCTGCCCCCTGTGGACGCCTACCTATCCCCGAAGAAACCCTCCCGGGACAGGACAGCTGGAAGGGTGTCTCTAACAGGCCCGGGCTGGGCATGTGGGCCCTCGCCACAGCACTGGTGGTTCACTGCTACAGCAAGAGTTCGTCCAACAAAGGTGATTATGGGGCCAGGTTCAAGGAAGGGAGATGCGGGAGGAGTGTCCTGATCCGCATCTTTGGAGGGTGGAGGTGCTTATCGATTTAGACCTGCATATCTTCAGTCTTGGAAGGACCCAGACCAGACATCATCTGATTTCAGGGGCAGGGTGTTGCATTGGAGAGCTCACCAACTCGGAATTCTATAATCTCCCATCATAGGTCAGTCTCCTCTCTTTGGGCATCACTTTGTCTATCTGTACAATGGGGGCATTGGACTAAACATCTGATTACAGCATGGTCCTTTTGTGGGCTGATATTCTGTCTTTCAAAACGTCTCCAGAAAGCCACAAGCAGTTTTAAGGGCAAGAACTAACTGCTGTAAAGAAGTTGTCTGCCTACAATGGCCCGAGAAAGGAAGAGACTTGATTCCAGTGCCAGTTTGATCCCTTGCTCCTTTCTGGCCTCACTGACTACACCTATAGTGAAGGATGATTTTTCAGTACTTACAGTACTGTTATTTTGACTCCTGTAGTGCAGTGGCATTAGTCTTTTAGGGTTTTGCTGTACCTGTTCTCAGACTTGAGTCAATCTTGCCGTGTGGGACAGTTGGCAGAAGAAGGAAGTTGGATCCCTGGAGACCAAGAGCAGGGGGGTTGTCAATGTGGTTGACCCAGATTGGCCTCTCAGCTGGGTTCATGGAGCTAAGCAGGGGCCGGGAGAGTGGGTGGGGAGCCAGACTTCTCGCCTGCCTGAGCCCAACCACTCTAGTTCTCAGTTGTCCTTAAGAAAGGTACTGAGGCACGTTGTCCATAGATTCATTCCAAACTCTGAGACCTTGGAGCAAAATTGAGGACTGCCTGGACTTACATTTGTTTATTCAGTAGGATGTGACAACTGTAAAGGAAGTGTTTTGAATAGAAGGGAGGACACTAGGGATCTTGTTTTGGGTCTAATTCTTCCCCTCATGAATATGAACTCTTGCTCCTTCTCATTGGACCTCTCTACAAAATAAGGGCATTAAAATAGACTCTAAGGGCTCTTCTAGCTTAGGCAGCTACGATTCTGTAATTTGTCACAATTTTGGATGATACCTTCTTGTGCCTAGTTTTGAGAGAGGTATATGGTAAGTTCTAATTTAACATGAAAGTCAGTTAAGGGGATGGTGCAGGTAGTTCAGTGTACAGAGCTATTGAGTGGTGTTATGTGTTGTTGGAGGAGCAGAGGGCTAGCAGGGCCAGGAAAGCTTGCAGGATGAGGCGGGGGATGAAAGAAAAAGAGAGTGACATGGTAAGCCCCTTGAGAGCAGGGAATGCATTTTACCTTCTTTTTCAAGTTGATACTATCAAGTTTTTCTAACACCTATGTGTTATTTGCCCACCAGTGTCTGGAACTTAGTGGCTACTTAGTAAATATGTCTTGAGTTGGGTTGTATTCCATGCAAAGGCTTTCGCCAGTAGTTGGTGTGTGCAGTAGCTAGCAGTGGCCATTGGGTGGAGGATGAGGTTTTTGGAATGAGGTGAGAGCAGATGGAGGGATGTGTATTGGTTTGGGATTCTTCTGTATGCTATGGAGAGCCATGGAAGTTTCCTAAGCAGGGAATGTCCAGAGGCCAGTGTGTTTAGATGAACTGGAGGAAAGTAACTAGAGACTTGCCTAAGAAGTTCTTGTGAACTTCCCCAAGAAAACTCAATAATAACCCAAACCATGAACAATTCCAACCCTTCTGACTTGCCAGCTACCCTGTCCCCTGACTCAGGGTTTTGAGCTAAATCCCTCAGCGCTGTGTAGTAGAACTGGACCCTTCAAAAGCCAGGAGGCCCTGGTTTTAATTGGCACATTTCTTACTCACTGGGACTTTGGAGAAGCTATTTTTATCTGCAGAGTGAAGGGAGAATGGGTAGAGCCATTTTTGAGAAAGGGATATTTTCCTTCTAGCTGGAGACTGTCTGAGCATAATTTGGTGTGTGTTTGAAGAACAGTCATATAAGGTAAGCAGGAAAGACCTGGCCCTGAGATGTAGGCCAGGAGGTAGGTGAAGGCACCAGTGTCTGGAATGGTTTTCATATGTATGATAAGGTGGGTATCTTATCTCTTATGCAGATAAGGAAACTGAGGCTCAGGAGTTGGCTAAAACAATAATTGTTGGAACTGGAACTACAGCCCGGATCTTGTTTCTCCCACATCTCACTAGCTGACTTGTGGCTGGACGGAGAGCTCCTGAAGTAGGGCTGGGTAGGAGTCAGTCCACTATCTCAGAACTAGGCTGGGCACAGAGGGCTCCATGGGGCATTTAGTATTGGACTGTTTGAAAGAGTTGTGCCTTTACTGTTGACTTTTGAAATTTTCCAAGTCTGGCAGTTCTTCCTTGTGGCCACAAGGTGATGCCAACAGCCTGCCAGCTGCACATTGCTGTTCTGCTAGGCCTGGTGAGTCTAAGGGTTCTGACCCCTCTGCTTTGAGCTTTCCTTCTCTGAGCTTGGCCCCAAAGAGTTTGCAGACTTTTTAACCATCATTTTGTCTCAGCATCTTTGTGAGACTGGCATGGTAAAGATTATTGTCTCTGCTTTGTAGTCTGGGAACCTGTGGTTTTGAGAGAAAGGGGCCCATGGTAAGTAGATGGTGAATAGGTTGGGGCCAGGTCTCAATGATTCCTAGTTGAGGCTTTCTCCATTTGTAGAGTGGCCTACACCCTTGCCTGCCGCTGTCCATTCTCTTCCCTCTGTTTGGTTTGTGACCTGTGACATCAAGATTCAGAACTGGGCTAAGAAGTAGGGAAAGAGTGAGACAAGGTCAGGGAATGATTAATAATAACAACCATAGTAATAGAAAATACACTTTCACAGAGTTTTAGAGCTATGAAGAGCAGGGATATTTTTATTCTAAGTATTTACCCAGGTGAGGTGTGGAGCTAGCAGTTTACCTACATCCCCTGTGTGGTGAGAGCAATGGAGAGTTTGGGCTCCCTTAGAGAAAGGTATGGAAGTCAGATTGCTAGCAGTGGAGCCCAGGTGGGGAGGGGATGATGAAACAGCCCTGAGGAGAAGGTCCTGGCCAGCCATCTGATCAGCGCCCCCTCTCTCTTCAGATGCAGCCCTGATGGAAGCTGCCCGTGCCAACAATGTTCAGGAGGTCAGCAGGTGAGTGTTGGCCCCCAGGCCTTGCTCTCCCCCAAAGAGGGGCTGAGCAGGTGAGCCCCTTCCTCATGTGATGACTTTGCCTTGGAAGAAGTCCTCACTCTTAAGCTGTGAACTGTCCCCTGTGATTTCCCTGTAGCATCAGAGTCACCTGAACTCCCTTGGCCCAGGGTCAGCCTTTACATACTTTAGATAGGGAGGAAACTCCCAGATATCCCTGAGTCTTCTGCGGGGATTATTTGGACTTCCCTCCACATCCTGTTGGTCCTCCTCTGGATCATCTGGTTTGTTTTGTTCCTCTGTGGAAGAGGCACATGTTACTGCTTGTTGCCTAGGTGGGGTGCAGGTGGGCACCCATAGAGAGAGGCTTGTGGATTTCAAAGGAAGCTGGAAGAGACCTTTGTGCCAGAGGCCCTGGGGCTAGAAAGGCCTGTCTTCACGGCTGGGGTGCCCATGTTGGGTCCTGCCAGGGGAAGACTGCTGTTCTCCAGCCTCACTGACTCAGCTAGTCCTTTGGGGCCATGAAGTTTTGTATTTGAGGCTTGTCTTGTTTTTAAGCACAGGGACAGGACTCAACTCAAAGCTCATTCTGGTGCCAGGGACAGGGCAGAATCTGTCCTGGATAATGCTGAGACTGGGGACAGCATAGAGTGTGTCAGCTAAGGGCCACTGGTTGAAGAAACTACTGACCCCTTCTGTCCCTCATCTTGACCTCTTTTGGCCCTTTGAGTAGATTTGGGTGGCCATAGGACACCTCCTTTTCTCTACCATCACATCCAAATCTTAGGAAGTTAGATGTTTGGGGCAACTATCCCTGTACCCCAGTACCACTGACACTCGGTGCTCTTCCCGCTTCAGCAGCTCAAATATATAAGAGAGTGCTGAAAGGCAGCCACGGCCCCACCAAGACGTACTGCTTTGATTCCCTTTCATTTTATCTGCAGCATTATTATTGATTCTCAGGGGTGCTTTTGAGTATTAATGTTCAAAGCTTAGTTTTTAATAAACCACTTTTGAAAGTATGGGCTGGGAGTTGTTTTGTAGCCAAATAAATATGATGGAGCAATAGTTTAATAAACATGCGATGATGCATCTTAAAAAACCAAGCACAGATGTCATCTTGTTATTATAAGAGCCATTCATAACTGCAGGCTGTGTGTGGCATCTCCATTCCCCCAGAAACTAATGAGCCCTGCTTCATTCTGCCGCATTAGAAGGGAAACAAGGGGGTGGAAACTGGCCCTTGCTGACCCTGGAATCACCTGTTGGTAGCTGCAAGGTGCCTGCTTCCCCCTGGCTAGCCCAGAGAACTCTTCTGGACATTCATTCCTGCTGGTGTGGACAGTGTCTCTTGGGCCCTTTCATGGAGGTCCCCGGTCTCTAGCTTGCTTTCCTCCCTCTTCTTCCCCAACTCCCTTGGTCAGGCTGACTCCGTCAGAATCTCCCTTCACTGCACGTGAGGAAGTCAGAGATGAGTGAGACACTGACCCTCCCTGCAGCCCCTATCTCGCACAGCACCACAGAGCAGGGGCAGACTGAGCAGAGGCAGGCGAGCCTGGCTGCCTGCTGGGCCAGGGGACTCTGTGGAGCTGGTGCAGGGTGTGGGGAAAGAGGGAAGGTGACTTGAGAGAGGCTGGAATGTGCACACCCTGCCCTGTCCAGGTTGAGGGTTTTCAGACCCTCAGTGGGGAGACATGGGAGTTTTTGAGCAGGGGACTGACCCTGCTTGGTTAGGACTGTTTCTGAGAGCTAAAGGATGAACTGAATGGGGAAAAGCTGAAGACAGCTCTGTGGAGAGACAGTTTTAATAAGACAGATTCAAGGTGATAAAGGCCTGAGAGCACATTGTTCCTGCCTCACCAAAGCAGTTCTTGCTTCTGAAAGAATGAGTTGACCTCTGCTGGGCCCTATAGGTGTGTGGGGTGAGGGTGGTAATCTGGCTGTGGTCTCAAACAGATAAGTAACCCACCAATTACCGTTCTTCCTGCTAACAGGGCAGGTGTTGGAAGAGGTAATTATAGGGATGGCCTGACCATCCTCACTAGAAGGAAACCTTAAGTTTTACGCAGCCTATCTGTGCCCTAGACTCTGCACAGTTGCTTCATGCAGCTACTTATTTGTTCCTCTGTGCCTTGACCCTTAGCTCTGCCCATTAGGTTGGCCTATAGCGGAATAGAATTTTTTTTTAATTTACACATGATTGAGACACCATATATTTGATTGGTATGGTCATTGATTCAGTATTTGGAATAAAAGAAGGATCTAGTGAATAATATTCTACTCTTTCCATGCTGTCTTGGGATTCTTGCTGTGTATGTCTCTACTCTGACCTCCATCATCTCCTTTCTCCAGTCCAGAGCCTCAGGAGAGCTCTGGATAGGTACTGTTCAGGAGGAAGTGCTTCATCCTCCTCTTTAGAACACTCAAGAGTCTATAGTCCCTGGGTCCTGGACGTGGGACCTCCACATAGCATATCTGTGCTCAGTGCTCATCTGCCTGAGTTCTGGCAGCCTTCAAGGCTCAGTTCAGGTGCTGCCTCCCTGTGAAACCTTCCTGGATTCCTCTCAGCTGGGTGTTATATTTTCCTTCCCCTACTCTACCATTCCCTCTGCTCTGGAAGACTATGAGGGTTGGATAAAAAGGGCCATGCCAGTATGTAGCAGGAGGGCAATCTAGAAAAGAAGTTGGAGGTCAGGGTGGAGGGGCAGGGCTGAACATCAGGTTTGAGGGGTAGATAGTCCACACAGGAAAACCATTGAAGTCCACATGCTGACCTAATCAGGAACTGATCCCAGATCCTCACAGAGTGTGTGACCATCAAGCCAATCTTCTGACAGTGGCACTGATATGTGAGCACCATTGACTTGCTTTATGTGAATCTGGCTAATGATGTGTGGGGTTGGCAGAACCTACCACTCACCACACTTTGTTAAGAGTTTCATGGGCTGCATTTTACTTTAAACCACAGGATTGTGTTTCTCACCATGGCAGGAACAAAGTCTGGTGCCCTAAAAGTCTCTTTTACCATATGTGCTAGCACAGGAGAACTCAAATGCTTTACTCATTTCAGTGTAACTGAAGCGAGAGGTCCTTACTCCCACTGGTTGCCTCCCCATTGGTTGCATGAAAGGGAGGCTGGGGCTCTTTGCCCTTTCTCCTTCCCTCCCTCCCTCCCTCCCTCCTCCCTGAGGCACTTAAACTTTGTAAGTTCATCCGGTCCTGGCACTTCAGAAGTGGAAGCCTGGCCCCTATCCTACCTGTTGACAGTGAGCAGGTGGCCCTGCTCCTGGGCTCAGCCCAAACCTGAACCTGGTTTCTGAACTGAAGAGCCACTCACCCGAAACAGAGGGCACATCTGTCTGGGCTCAGGCTGAGACATTTGAGGACTCCTCTTCTCCAGTGGAGATCACATTTCCTTCTGATCAAACCAGTGAAAAACAACATTCCTGCCTATTTTCTTCTACTAGCAGTGGAGAAGCTGGGCTTCTGCTAAGTAGCTAACTCAGTTGTTTATCAGCTCAGCCTCTGATGAAAGAGACTTGGTGGTATCAGTCTTGGACCTCTACCCTCTGCCCTTTCTCTCCATTTGTTCATCTGATAAACATTTGCTGAGCATTTACCATATGTTGGGTCCTCTCCTTGGCACAGGGGATACCCAAGCAGGAATGATTCCTGACCTCAGTGACAGATCTTTTGGCAAAAGTGTGATCTGTACTAGAGACAGGAAAGTGCAGGGACTGCTGCAGTGCAGAAGTGTCCCTAATCAGCCTGGGGGGTTAAGAAAAGCTTCCTTGAGCAAATGGCACATGATCTTAAAATATCAACAGTGTTCAGCAAGTAGAGGGGGAAAGCATTCCGAGCAAAAGGGACAGCACCAGTGGTAGCACCAGGGCAAGGAACAACCAAGGGGTGTGTGGGAAGGGGAAATTGTGCATTGTTTGCCACAAGATCACAGTCTGAGGCTGAAGGGACTGGAGATAGGTAGGGATCTGGTCATGAAGGGCATCCATTGACTGGACCTCAGTTGCCCTCATGTCTAGCATGTTCTCTGTGCCTACCCCTGGGGTGAATTGGGTGGGGTAGGGAGCGGAGCAACAGCAGTGAAGAAGGAGAACCGGTTCCGCCTTTGAGAAGCTTAAATCTCTCTTGGTAAGAAAAGAGGACATGAGTAAAAAATTGTGAACAAGCAAAGCAAAGCCCAAAATGCCTGACTTGTATGAGTCTAAGTCATGTGGAGATGATAATAGCTAGAACCTGTGAATTGTAGAGTTATTATTACTAGTAATTATTAATTTATGCAACCAATGTTAATGAGTGCTTGTTAGGAACTAGGTGTTGGCTGAGTGCTGAAGACACAGTAGTGAACACGACCAGTACAATCCTTGTCCTATTGGTACTTACAGTCCAGTTGGGAGCCAGAGGACTCTAAGTATGTACTTCAAAAGTGAAATAAAGTTTATCTTTTCAGTAAATGGTACAGGGACAACTGAGTAGGCATATGCAAAAGACTCTTCTCAGGTGGAGATCACATTTCCTTCTGACCAAACCAGTGAAAAACAATACTTAGATAAGCTTAAATCTCCCTTGGTAAGAAAAGAGGACCCTAATACCATACGTAGAAATGAACTAAAAACAATCATGCAACCAGAGACATGAAAAATTGTGTTCCAAATGTGTACTATGAATTGAAATGCATTCTGCTGTCATGTATAAAAAATTAGAATAAATAAATAAATTTAAAATGTAAAAAAAAGATTCATGGAGCTAAATGTAAATGCTAATGCAGTAAAACTCTTAAAAGAAAACATAGAATTAAATCTTTGTCACTTTGGATTAGGCAAACCTGCCTTAGATATGGTATCAAAAGTACAAGCAACCAAAGTGGGGAAAAAAAGTGGACTGCATCAAAATTTAAAACTTATGTGCTTCAAAGGCTAACATCAAAAATGTAAAAAGAAGGCTGGAGCTGTAGCTCAGTGGTAGAGCACTAGCCTTGTACCTGT